CCAGGTCTATGCGAGTGAGGCCCAGTAAAGACTCTGGATACCAAAAATCGGTTGAGATTCCCTGGATGGCAATACTCTGCACACACTGTCACACATCACTGCCAGGAAAGTTAGCACCATCAGTGCCTCTATGGGGAGAAGACAAGTGGAAGCTCTGTGCACGGAACTTTCCAGGACTCTGCCCCATGCGTCTCTTCCCTTTGCTGAATTTAATCTGTATCCTTTCACTGTAATAAACCACAACTGTAACTATAACAGCTTTTGGTGAGATCTTTGAGTTCTTCTAGCAAATCATAGCACCTAAGGATTCCCCAAACTTGAGACTGTCAGAAATGAGCATGGTTTTGGGGACACTGAACTCGGTAGTTGGCGTTTGAAGTGAGGGCAGTCTTAGAGATTGTTTTCAAACTTCCGTAATATAGTTCTCATCTCACTCCACGCAGTACTTCTCACCACTGTAATTCTGCATTTCACTAATTAATACCAATCTCCTCCAATAAACTCTAAGCACTCTTGAGGGCAGGGATCACGACTGCTCATCATTCCCCAAGCACCTAGCACAGCATTTGCCACATTGTAGGCACTCAATCATTCTTTCCTGAAAGACTGAACAGATGGGGTCAGACAAACCCAGTACCACTGCAGCGAGATCTTAAGCAAGTCAGACATTAGCTTTCTCATCAGTGAAATGGTAATAAGACAATGATGTTTTATAGAAAAGCATTACCAAAATGTCATTCCTGGATCCTTATACACTAATTGTAATTACTAGAAGACCATTTCTGTTCTCGATATTTTATTAATCAATGATCCACACGCACACCCCTCTCCAATTAGAACATATGATTAGCATAAGACAGCGAGTACTACCTCTCTAAATTGATGCAATTCCACCCATAAATACCAAAACTATATACTTAGTTAATATGTATGACCTTATCACAAATAAATATAATTTTAATTAAATTTCTAAAATTTCTGAAAATAATCCTAATTGTCCAGAGCCTCTGGATTGGAAATCATTACTATAAGCTCTTGAAGCCTAGAACCAAGGATTATACGTTTATGTAATATATACCACAAAGTTTCTAGCATAGGCTCATAACAGATACACACTAAAAAGACTGTTATTATTGGAGAATTCCTGATCTGTCAGTTTAATAAGAACTGTTGGCATAATATAGTAGAAAAAATATGATATTATTGGGAAATCACTAATCCAACACATTAATAAACATGGCAGGAATAATATAACACAAATAAAACATTAAATTACAGTAAGACAGAAGTATAATACAGAACTAGAAAAATATCAAGGGATATCATAATCTAGTGTCAATTTTTTTCTTTATAGAGTACTTTCTTATACCTTAAAAATACCTAGGCCTCTATAAATCACAGACATCATTAATGTCTTAGTGTTAGTGAATTCTAGTGTTCTTTAATAGTAACATTCTTAGAGATGAAGAGTTCAGTCTACATTTATTGGATACTTACTATGTGCCAGGGACTGTATCTTGGGTTTACAATTTAGTGTAGAAGAAATATAATTAAATACACACACATGTATATGTGGAAAAATTTGGAAGAATATAAATTGTTGTCAGTGGTTATCTCTAGAGCGGGCATTAAAAAGGATTTTTATTTTCTACATCATACATTTATAACGCTTAAATTTTGTTATAATGAGTATATATTCTTATATACCTTAAAAAATAAGAAAAACTTTCTTTAGGAGAAAAATCACCTGAAGACTTTTAAAACTGTTTCCTACTTTTTCTCTACTACCCAGATCTTCAAACCACAAACAACTGTGGTTTTAAAATTATAATTATTGTAGTACAATGATACTCACATAAGTACACAAATATTACAATATATAAATGGATTATTTGAGTCAGAGAAATAATTAGAAACTCAAAATGTTGATCATTAAGAGATTAGTTAAATTATAGGTCATTTATACCAAGAATACTTTCAATAGGGGCAGCGTTCTGATGTGGTGAAGAGTATGCACTTCAGAGCTACAGGGACTGGTTTGCACCCCAGCTCTGTCACCGACTAGCTGCATAACTTGGGCAAGTTTCTTAATCTCTCTGGGATTCAGTTTCCACACCTGTGAAATGATGAGTAACCTGTAAAACCACATAGGGTTGCTGTGAGGATCAGCTACTACAAATAAAATTAATAATAAAAAATAATATATATAAAAGTGCCTAATAAGCCTCAATAAATGTTAGCAAATACTGGTATGTGTACTGAAACAGAATAAAGTCAAACTTTTATCATTCAGTGAAAAAAGATGCAAAATATTTTGCATACAATCCAACTTTCATAAAAAAGAATTATAATGAGAATGTGTCACCAGCGAACAAACAGAAAACGTGGGAGGTAGTATGGCATGTGGAATCACAAACCTGGGTTTTAGACCCGGGTTTAAATTCTGGATCTACCAGGTATGAGCGGTGTGACCTCAGGCAAAGAAGTTAATTTTTCCAGGCCTCCATTTCTTCATCTGTGAAGTGAGGATAACCACCACACAGGGTTGCTGCAAGGATTAAATAAATACTATATCTAACGCACAATATCTGGCACACACCAAGAATGATAAATGTTGGCTAGTGTTGATATTGCTATTATTATAGTTGTTATTAACAAGAAGAGACACGTCTGTCTTATTCATCCTTTTATCCCCAGTACCTAAAACAATGCCTAGCACAAAGTAGGTGCTCAATAACTACTTATTGATTAAATGAATGAGTCAAACTGTTCAAAGTGGTTAGTAGAGATGGGTGTGGGATTACAAGGATATTCACTTTCATCACTAGCTATTTCTGTTAAGTTCTGCTATCAGAAAAAAAAAAAATTGACACTTTACACAATAATAAAATAATGTTTTCCTAACCCTTAAAGTAAAAAAGCAAGAAAGTTCTAATTTCTCTAAAAACACTCAATTTTAAAAACTTGGATGGGGCCGGCTCCGTGGCTTAGCGGTTAAGTGCGCGCGCTCTGATGCTGGCGGCCTGGGTTCGGATCCCGGGAGCGCCCCGAGGCACCACTTCTCCGTCCAACGTGAGGCCGAGTCCCACGTACAGCAACTAAAAGGATGTGAACCTATGACATACAACTGTCTGCTGGGGCTTTGGGGGGAAAAAAACTGAATAAATAAAAAAAAAAATAAAAAAATAAAAAAATAAAATAAAAATAAAAAAAATAAAAACTTGGATGAAAATGGAAAGTAGTAATAAAAGCAAAGAAAAAGGGAAAACAAATTACTAAATGGAATAGCAAAGGCCTGATCTAAAGGGCAGTAACAAGAATTAACAGTTTTATTTTTCCACCTTTCTAAAGGTCAAACAGATTATCCTAAGCAATTTTTTGAGTCTCAGAAATAAGTGCAATTTTCCAACAAATGCAATCATATTTAGCTCAGATTTTAAACATTAAACCTCTTTTATAATTTTCTTTTTCAGCTTTTCCAAACAACAGACCACATACAGGGAGGCATCTAACAAGGTTAGTTAAACATGTCATTGTATACACAAGAAGAGCAGTTCTCAGAGTGGACCATGGACCCCTGGGAATTCCTAAGTCCCTTTTCAAAAGGTCTGTGAGCTCAAAATGTCTATAATAATTCCAAGACAGTTTTGACCTTTTTCCCTGCTTTCACATTTGCACTGACGGTACAATAGCAATGGTGGGTAAAACTGCTGGTATTTTAGCATGAATCTAGGCAGCGGCATTGAACTGTTTCACTGACACACAGACGTAGTTAAAAAAAAAAAAAACAACAAAACAAAAAAGCCAGCTTTACTGAAGACTTCTTTGTTACATTTCAACCTCAGAGTACAAGTCTTCAATATTCTGTTGAAGGAAATAGGTAGTACAAATAAGGCATTTCTGCTGCACCAACATATGCTAGTCATTTCGAGGAAAGGCACTAGTGTGATTCTTTGAGATGTGAGCTAAGTTGGCTGGTTTTCCTAGGAACATCATTTTTACTTGAAAACAAATGGCAGACAAATACGGTTGTTCAGACAGGGTATTTGGCAGATATTTTCTTGAAAATGAGTGAAATGAGTGTCACTTCAACGAAAACACCTGATATGGTATTTGCTATCCTTGACAAAATTTGAACTTTCAAGCAAAAATGAGAATTTTGTAAGACTTAGATCCGCCACTGTGAGTTTAAAAATTTCATGATACTTAATGACTTTTCTGATGATACAGATGGTGATATTAACAAATGTGACTCGTTGATAATGTATATAATCAAATGTGTCAACATTTAGAAGATCTGCCTACGTCGGTGAATTTTCACAATGACCAATGAGATCCAATGAGCAAGACAAACCAAGGATTTTAATATAACCAAGTACAAAGTTCATTGATATGGTTTCAAATTTCACATTGCAACTAACCTTTAAGAAAGCAACATTTTTGGAGTTCTGATAGAAATATCAGACAATATCCATAATTCTCTGAAAAAAATATTAAAATACTCCTCCCTTTCCAACTACAACTCATGTGTGAGACTGAATTTTTTTCGTGTACTTCAACCAAAAACAAAACAAAATAAAAACATTGCAAGAGACTGGATAAAGCATAGGAGAATCCAGCTGTGTGCTATTAAGCCAGACATTAGATTGCAAAAATGTAAAACAATGCACTCGTCTCATTAATTTTTTTGTTTTAGTAAATATAATTATTTCTCATTAAAAAATATGTTACTTATATTAACTTCATGAATAAACTTACATTTATTCTTAAATCAATTAAATATTTTTTAAATATCTTAGTTTTAATGTCTAATATGATAAATATTGATAAATAGATATATATTTAGATAAAGAGAAGCTCTTTGGGGAATATCTCAATAATTTTTAAGGGGTCCTAAGACAAAAAAGTTTGAGGACTGCCACACTAGAGACACATAGGTGGAATAGTCCTGTTTATAAAAAGGATTGCTCTCAAGACTTCAGAGTATCCACAAACCATACCTGCTTGGCAAAAAATATCGTGTCAAGTCTGGAGTCCTGAACCACAGAGCCCGCTGGTTCTTCTCCCGGCTGCCACTTGAAAAGAAAAATTAACCCATGAACTGGCCTACAAAATAAAACACAAATTAGTGACACCAAACCCTGCTGCGTTTATAACACATTGTCAATATACTAAATTGTAGTCAGCTACTTACCAAATATAATGCAAATGAAGTAAATGAGAAATATTTTTAAATTTCTATTGCTATTCATAGTCACTAGAATGTTGCCTAAGATGAGGCTAACAAAACTTAAAATTACACCAGTGAAAACAGAATTATAATGAAAAGTTCATTTTCAAATCTGTAGATTATTCATTTCTACCTTACATCACCTCACTTAAAAACAGAATATAAGAACACAGCAAAACTAGAAGCTGTTAACCCTAGATTGAATCCCAATATATATGGATAAAGTTCACATACGATGTTAATAGAGAAATGGTTGATAGTATACATGTTACGAAACATAGAAAGTCACCTTCATACAATTATTGGATTCATGAACAAACATCCGACTACAGCATGAAGGATGCTGTCATCTCATACATAATGAACTTGCCCATGAAACATGAAATTGCCACTTTAGGATTCTCTCCAGTCCATCTTTCACAACTGCCTTCCATGCAACAAAAATCCTATCCTTTAAAGACAGTTCAAATGACGCATCTTTAATCAACCTTCCCTGATCACTCAGCCAGACTGATCTCTTATTCCATCTAAAGTGACTGCTCTTACGTGGGGAAGGGGAAAGTAGGGGGAAGCAAACTATCTCCTTACTATTAAAAACAGTAACCATATCCCCCCAGTCCCCATTTTCCCTTTTAAAAGCCTACACCTTGTCCCCAATGCAAGATTCCAAGAACTCTCCCACCAATGAAAACTCCTTCAGCTCTCCATTTGCAATACAGGGTCAATGCTTGAGGGCATGGGGGTTGAGGGTAAGGAGTGGCTCAGAGAGGTGACTCTGCTCAGGATGGGGAAAGAGGACGGCACTTGCTGGCATTTGGAATCTGATCTGTAACCTCCCCAAGAAGCAATGTGATCATAAACAGACACGTTCTGAATTACTATTAATATACATTACCCATTAAATATGCTTTTGTAGACTGACCTATTATTCACATTTTTATGTTAAAATGTGTTCCCTGTTCTAACCTTATCGAACTATAAGTGAATGTTGTAAAAAAATCAACCAATCAGTACTTGTTGACATGGAATTCCAGAGACTTAGTTTTTTTAACCCCTTACAAGTTACTTATCTATGAGCCTCAGGTTCTTGGTTATAAAATGAGAATAATACCTATATCACAGGACTGAAAAAAGACTTAAAGGAGATAATGTATTCAGAACAGAGTAATCCAAGTAAAACAAACAGACAAAAGTTTGCTTATGTATAGACATGCTATTTTTAACACAACTAAAGTTATACTTACTTTAATTTTTCAAAATTCTCAGGCTCCAAACTCCATATTTCTTCTACTTGAGCTCCTCGGCAACCTGAAATAGGAAATTATTCTTGAGAAAACAAAATAACTCATTTTTTCCCTTTACCATACAAGACCACTTAACAGTGCTGTTCCTCATACTCACAGCGTTGTTGTGAGGAATAAATGAGATAATTTATTACACATGAAATACATTTAACACAGTGCCTGGCACACTCTACAGGTTCAGTAAATGTTAGCTAGTAGTATTACCATAATACATACAACAGCCACATTTACCAGTGCCTTCTATGTAAAGTGCTTTAAATGCATTTTCTCTAATCCCTGCAAGACAAGTATTACATGGAAGAGGTTTAGGGAAGGTTAAGTGACTTGCCTAAATTCACTATAGCTAGTATATGTCAAAAAACTAATTAAAACCCACATCTGGTTCCAAAGTCTGGGCACTTCCTAACATTTCAGATTATTTTCAAGTGAGACCTAGAGAAGCCTTTAGACCACCTGCAAAAATCAATGGGTTAAAAAAAAAAAACAAAAAACTTGGGTCAACCAACTATGTGACTTTGGGCATTCATACCACTCCGTGACTCAGCAGGTTGCTGGACATTCACATACAGAAAGTTGGGCAAAAAAACTTATAAATGTGAACCTATATTTATATGAGTGTCAAAAAGGGCACAAAAAGACACTAACGCAACTGTTAACACTGGTTACTGCTATTGGAAATCAACTGTAAAAAGGCCAAACATTAAAACATTGTACATATCATATCAAAACAACAACAACAAAAATCCACTGAATAAAAGTGCCCCAAAATCTTTTGCACAGGTGGAATTTCAAGTGGTGACACTGTTTAAATAACCTTAAGTTAAACACATACAAATCTCTTTGTGTAAGGAAAACACAGTACTCAACTGTTAGCAACTATCTCCTTATCTACATTCAATATCTAATAATCTCCTTATGTACATTCAATTTCAAATAATGCGTGGTATAACGGAAAGAGAAATAAGCAATGATTCAAGAGACCTGGGTTCTAATCCCAGCACTGCCTTAAAGTTCTTAACCTTGACCAAGAACATACCATCTTGGAGCCTCAATTTCCCCATGTCTAAAAAAAGATACTACTTGCTTCATCCAATCCACACAATTCTTGTGATGTCTAAGTTATCTAACACTAAACACAAAGAATCACTTAATGCAGACTCCCCTAATAGATATTAAGTAAAAACTTGGGTGGGGGGAGGCTTTAAAAAGTTATGAAATGCCAGTATTTAACAAATACCTTTTATGTGCCAAGCATGGCACTAGGCTTTGGCAAGGACAAAAAATAATAAACTATTGTCTCAATACTTAAGAACTTCACAATCTAGGAGGAAAGAAGTACATACAACTCAAAACACAGTAGAGCGTGCATAATTTGCATATGAAAAGTACACAGGGAAGCCTTCTGGAAGTTAAGAGACAGGAAGGATCATTACTTATCTTTGCTGATCAGAAAAACTTTCATGGATAGTCGAACTGGGTCTTAAAAATCATGATCATATAATTAGTCATCCAAACCAGAACACTGTTCCAAAATGAAAGAGAGTACTAAAATTAAAATGACGTGTTTTGAAATATTTATGTACTAACACATTTATATTATGATACCAGGTGGCTCTATAAAATAGTTCTATTCAAAAACTAATTTCAAAAATAATTTTCTTAAAAACATACCTGGAGCCTTTCTCCCCAAGAAATATACCCTGGTGGGGCTTTCCCAAACTGTTGCCAGTGCCTCAAGTTCAACTGTCGGCTACGTATGCTATCTCCCAACAGTTTTGACAACAATTTGTCATTTCCCTAACTTTGCCAACAAGTCTGTCAGAAGCAGCAGCAGGCGTGGCCTCAGCTTCTGCACCTCCCACCAAATGTAGCCCCAAATATCCCCAAACCCATTCTCAGTCATTCCATGGCATGGACAAGTGTCATTTAGCTGGTGATGTGACCATATAGGAAAAACTGGGTTGTCGGCCCTGAGGCAGTCTCTCCAAAAACAATGACTAGCTCAATTATTTAAAATGAACAGGGAGCCCAAAGTCGGAGGAAGTATTTACTTGTACTCTTAATGAGAAAGTCCCATTTTGGGGGTGCCAACATTTATAACCAATACTTGCTTCCAGGGGTACCAGGTGCAACCTCATAACTATACTTCCATTTCTTGTATGCAAGCCAAGCATTACCTTGCCTCTCTCCTCAAAACAAGGTGACACGCACCTTAGGAGTGATCATAACAGACCTTCGTGTTAAGGAAACACCACGTTGGCCCCAAAAGTCATTCAGATCTGCCTCAACTCATGGGCCAGGGCTGTTGTGGATGACGGAATCTGCTAGACTTCCTCCTTGTAGGCCCAGGTAGAGTCTGTGCAGTCACTGACACACCCTGCTGTACCGGGTTAATGCCTTAAGCCAAGAAGAAAGGTCGATACTAAAACTTGAGGAGAAAGCCACCTGGCTCTCTCATGTCAACACTCCAAGAGATAAACAGATTTGGTAGCAGCCCTGTGGGTCAATTCAGATTAATCAGAATAGCTGAGGGAATGGCATATTGGTGTAGAAAGGAAGGATGGATTTTGTTGGAAGACAATTTTCAATGGCTTTCTCCTGTGTCTGCTTATCTTCTGAGAGGAATTACTACATTTGCTCTGGAGTATCTTTTCAAGGATGTTAGCATAGTAAACAGACTTGAAAGAGAGAGATAGTGTCTCCCTCTGGGGTAGAGGGAAGACTTATTTGCTGTCCATAACAATCTCTCTCTAGAGCCAAAGATGAATAGGTTTGCTAGCAGCCTCTTTATAAAATTGGGAGTTCCCCAAGCTCAGAGTTCCTCAGCTTTGACACAGACTCATGTGTGCAGCATCCACCTGGGTCCACGTCCACTCCCATGGACTTAGAGAACAAGGGAACCAAGACAAACGTGAATCTCCTGCTGCCTACGGTGCCATGAGCAATACAGTCCTCTATCTCTCAAGTAGTCATCCACCAGCATCTATAAAACAGCGGCAGGCTAACTTGTCAGCTGGCAAACAGGGTAAAACCTAACACTTCATAATTCTTAACAGATGCTGGATTTTGTCAAATGCTTTTTGTATCTATTGAGATAATCGTATGGTTTTTCTTGTTTACTTTGTTAATATGGTGAATTACACTGAATCTCAAATGTTAAACCAACCCTGAGTTCCTGGGATAAACCCCACTCAGTCACGATATATTGTCCATTTAATATATTATTGGATTTGATTTGCTAAAATTTTGTTTAGAATTTTTGCACCTATGTTGATGATAATAGGTCTGTAGTTTCCTTTCCTTGTAATGTCTTTGTCTGGTTTGGGTGTTAGGATAACACTGGCCCTCATAGAATGTGTGGGAAGTAATCCTTCGTCTCCAATTTTTTGGTAAAAGTTTGTGTAGAATTGGTATTACTTATTCCTTAAATATTTGATAGAATTTACCAGTGAAGCCATTTTGGCTAGAGTTTTTTTTTGTGAGAAGATTTTAAATTTAAATTTAAATTTCTCTAATAAATGTAAGGCTATCCTTGTTATCTATTTCTTCTTGAATGAGCTTTGGTAAGTTGTGTCTTTAAAGGAATTTGTACATTTCATCTAAGTTGTCAAATTTATTGGCACAAAGATGTTTAGCATATTCCCTTATTATCTTTTTAATATTTGTAGAATCTACAGTGACACCATCTGTCTTACTCCTGATATTGGTCCCTTTTGTCTCCTCTCCTTTTTCTGATCAGCCTGGCTAGAGGTTTATCCATTTTATTAATCTTTGAGAAACTAGTTTTGGTTTCGTTGATTTTCTTCACTATTTTTTTTTCTGTTTCACTAATTTCAACTCTGATCTTTATTATTCCCTTTCATCTGCTTACTTTAGGTTTAATTTGCTCTTCTTTTTCTAGTTTCTTGAAGTGCAAGCTGGGATCACTGATTTGCTGTAGGAAAAGAAACCCAGTCCCTGTTATTCCATCTTGGCTGGAAGCAAAAGTTGACAGCTTCTATTTTTAATTGGCAGACTGTCACAGTTTGTTTTGTTGCATTTCTGAATTATGTATGTACCATACCAATTAAAAGTATAGTTCTGCTCTATCAGTTTCTTAATTTAACAGAACTTTGTTTTACCATGATGTTATATTCCAACAAAATTTGTATTTATATATTCACTAAATCCACAATTTCCCCTCCAATGAAGAAACTTTTACAACAGCATTAATAATACAATAAGATGTTTCATTTTTGAAAGAATGAACTTCCAAACGCTTTTTTAAATCCATAAATTGGATGAGGAAAAAAATGGAAATGATGGAAAAAGTAAACTTATTTCCTCTTTTAAGTATCTGATGATGATACATAACTACCATCACTTAACTTTTTTTTCTTCCTCTTTTTGTATGTGAGCTGTCACCACAGTGTGGCCCCTGACAGACAAGTGGTGTACGTCTCCAGCTGGGAAGTGAACCCCTGGCCACCAAAGTGGAGCGCACTGAACTTACCCACTAAGCAACTGGGGCTAGCCCCCCGCAAAGGTCTTCCGATAACAGAGTCAACCCATTAATAGCTATTTCCTCACGTATCATATGTGCAGGTGCAGAAGGTACATTTACATATCACTCTCTTATGCCTGACTTTATTTAAATCACTTTCAATTCCAAGTTTTCTGCACATATGAGATTGAAACAATAGCTGTTAATGGAGTGGATTAACTATAAAATAAACAAACTTACCTAATACAATATTTTTTAAAGTTAACTTTAATATATCATAACAGTTAAGGTCTTGAAGGTAAATTTTATGGCTAAATCTGCAGACTTCTCAAACCCAGTATATGTCTGAAACTGAACCCATTTTCTCATCCATCAAATCTGTTCTTCTCTTGTACTTCACCAGCCACCCAAGCTAGAAACCAGAGTTATTTTCACCTCTTTTTCCCTACATCCAGTCAGTCAGCGGTCCTGTCGATTTAAATATAGGAAAATTATTGACTCCCTCCTCCTCTCTAACCTCCTGCTTTATGTCAACCCAATCATCTCAGACTTCCAACATTTTAAGAGACTCCTAGATTCTCTCACTTCATTCCAATCCATCCTGCACACTATACATAGGAAACCTTTTTTAATTATAAAAATGTCACGTCAGCATTCAAATATCTTCAACGGTTAAGTCCCCAGTGACTAGAGAACAATCCAAACGACACAACATGGCATACAATCTGGTCTCAGTTTATCTTTTCAGCTTCAGATTCAAAACCTCCAGTCTGTTACATTACGTTGTAGACACTTTGCTAGCTGTCCTCTAAGCCATACGCTTCAACATCACTGCTGTTTGTTTTTCCTTCTGCCTATGCTCTCCCACGACCTGTGTTCCTGTAACATTTTGCACGTACTCTAACATAGCAATTAATGCACCATATTAGTTTGATTGTCCGTTCTTTAGAACAGCAGTCATGGTTTAGTCACATTAATTCCCAAACCCTACCAGCGTGCCTGAGATATAGCGGGTGAACAATATGTGCTTGATAAATGATATTGCAAATATTCATCTATGTACACTAGACAGTACCTATATCAACGCTTAACTTTTATTCCGAGTACGAGTTTTAACATAACGCTAGAATTAATAACACTTGACGACATACAACAAATAAAAATACACTTACTGTCCAAAGAAGAGGCTGGGAACAAGAGGGACAGGAAAGGATAAAAAGTCAAAGATGTTGATTACTTAGGCTGGAAGACAAGGAATACAGCCAGAAAGAAATTATGTGGAAAGCATGTGGCCTCTAGTCTGGAGCACTAGCTCAAGAAAACACATTTCACCGGAAGCCCGAAACGAGCAGGGAGCAGACCTAGCGAAGAGCCGGTGGGTCCCACGCAGTGAGCGAGCGTGGCCGTCCGCAGGGCTGGTCCACACTCAAGGTGTCCTGCTTTGAGTAACCAGGCTCTCGGGTTCCCGGGCGGCGCGGCCCCGGACACCCCGCCCTCGAGAAGGCACACCCTGGCTTTTCCCGCAGGACTGACGGCCTGAGCCACGCACCTGGACGCACCTGCCCGGGATGCGGAGCGCTCTGCCGAGAATGGGCCGCGGGAAGGCAAAGACCCGTGCGTACAGGGTTGGGGGGTCAACTGCTCGCGTCAATTAAGAAGTAATTGACGGCCGAAGCCGCAGGATGCGGCGGCGCACCCGACAGACGCGGTCCCTGCCCTCGTGGTGGGGCTCCCTCAACATCACTGCGGGGACGCGACGGCCCGGGACCGACAGGGCGCGGGAGCCCCGCAGCCCCCTCCCCGACTGCAGTGCCTCCCTTGGACGCGGGCGGCGGTGGCCGCAGGGGACCACTCCGTGCCCAGCTTGGGCCTCCTCCCGTGACCCCCGGCCCAGGACAGTCCCCTTGGCGCTCACCGAATCCTTTAATGAGCTCGGTGAAGACCCCGGGGTCGCTTTCCATGAGGCACCACTCCCCGGCATTGCCCGTCATGGCCCCGGCCACACACCGCCCGCGCCACCTCTCGCTCCGGCCGCCCCCCGCACCAGCTGCTGCCGGCCACTGATCTCGGCGAACCCGCCGCGCAGCTCGTCCACCCCACGTCACCCCGCCTACTTCCCGACAGCCTCCGGGCGCCGTCACCTGCAGCGCCATAGAGCGCGCGAGGACGCTCTAGCCGCCCGGGAGAGAGCGCAGGTCTTCCCAGGCTGCGCAGGACCCGTGGCGGATTCGGAAGGGGCCGGGCCTGAGGGGAGGGGGCGGGGACTCAGAGCGCGGGGGGAGGGAACATCCGGGATCCTCGCCAGGCTGGGGCGGGCCCGGGGGCGGGGCGACAGAAGAGGGGCGGGGCGCGTTCCTGGGAGCCCAAGCTGGAGGTCCTGGCGGCGGCGGGGGAGCTGGAGTGGTCGCCGCCCGTCAGGCCGCCGCCGCCACCTCTCGTCGTTCCCCGCGCGGCGCGGGGCTTCTCCCGGTGGCGCCGCGGGTTCGGAGGGTCGGCCGCCGGGCGCAGGTGAGGAACGGTGGGAGGCCGGCCCGGGGCCCTTTGTGCGAGCTGAGCGGCCCTCCATGTCCCTCACCCCGCATCCCAGTGGTCCAGGCCGGAGCAGACGCTTCGCCAGACCCTCGTTCCCCTCGCCGTGCCCATCGCGGTAGGGACATCCGCGTTCGGCCGGGCCCGGACGCTCCCGAGGGGGGGCCCGCCCCGAGCCCCGAGCCCCGAGCCCCGAGCCCCGAGCCCCGGACCGCCCCTGCTGGTACTTGCATGGCTTCGCCCAGGCCGGCGTGTGAAGGCACGCTTCACTCCTCCCCTTCCTCCTCCTCCCCCTCCTCCCCCTCCCCCTCCCGCGGCTTCTGCGCCGAGAGGCTTCGCCCTGCGTCTGAGGCTTGGGCGGCAGGATGTTTGTGGGAAGCCAGAAGGCGATCCTACAGGGAATGACGAGGGCGAAGGGCAAGATTCGTCCTGTAGTCCGTGGGGATGATGGATAAGTGTAAGGGGGTGCCATGCCTCAAGGGAACGTGAGGTTGAGAAAATGTAGTGTATTAATTTAAAAACATTTGTGATGGTTCTAAGACTAAATGATGAGTTAAACCAAAAATAGCTATTTTTCATGAAATCGCTCTCATTCAACAGGCTTTTGCAGAATACTAGTGTTAAGGTTCAAGTCTTGAAGAGTATATTTATGCATCGCTCCTTAAAGCTCTAAGTTGCAAGAAGGGCCTTTGGCTTCCAGAATAAAAAATGCTTTCGTGGATAAAACTCTGGTTCCTTCCTTCTCAAACAGGTGACGTGTGCCCTGGAGTTAGGGAGCGTTGTGCTGTGGACTATGTGAAGCCACAAAATAAACAAATTTTACCGAGTGAAACAACAGAACAGCTTTTATATAAAAACAAGCATGGCGATATTATGGAAGAGAAGCTACAATTTGTATCAAGTGTTTGATTAAAAAAAAAATTTTTGGAACTTTCTTGAAGTTTGTCCCTGGGAGATTCTGCCCTCAAGCTGGGGGGGCTTCTGTTCAGTATCTGCCCTGTTAAGTATACTTAAATGGAAAAGTTTATGAGGCACAGAGGTCTAGCCTTATTTCCTTGTGAACCACGCCTAGAGTGGGCCCAAAGCTGTTTGCAGTAATTTGTGATATTTTTTAGTCTGTAATATTGCTGTGAACTTGAAAGTGTTTTCTGTGCTGAATAATGCCTCAAAACTAACATTTATTTGATACCCAACTTAACATGGTGGCTATTGTAGAAAGACTGGACTGAAAATTTAGCCCTTGACACAACCTAGAAGTAATCAGAAAGGGAGGTTAAAATTTCTTTAATGTTGTTAACATTTAATCCTAAAAGTTCACATAAAAATCCAGATTTCTAGGTCTTTGAGAAAAATGAGAAGATCTGGCAATACTAGGCCCATACCACCTGGCAACCAATTGGCTGAAGTGCATGCCTTCAGGATGGCATGCCGTCTCGTTTGCCACAGTTCCTCACTGTGGCATCACACTTGTTCCTCACTTTTTACTGCATCACACTTGACTTGATCCACCATGTCCATTACCAGTCTGAATGATGCAGTTATTTGAATTTGTGGCCCCAGTTTTTGGACTATTGTTTGTTTTGAGCTGTCTTGCACTCTCATAGATGTGTCAGCCTTGACTTCCTTTAAAAAGGAATAAGCTGCAAACTTATTTGACCTCTTGGGACAAAAGGTAGCATTTTCAGATAAAAAATGGACAAGAGACTTTGGAAAGATATTCAAGTGTGTACATTCAAGAAGAGTGTAGAAATCTTTAGAAATAATATAGTGTTTGTGCTGTTAAAAGATACCGTAAATGTTCTAGTTCTAATGAATGCGAAGCAGAAAGTGCAATTACATGTTGTGTACTATTAGCATTCACTGATTTTGCATTCAAAGTTGAGAGAAGTGAGCTGTGTATAAAATATCCACAACCAATTTCAAATGGCAGCCATGCTTTTAATAAATATTATGATCTGTTTAATGTCTTCCCCCATTTTAGTTTATAGAAGTTTAATACAATTTTAGCAGTATTAAATTCTTTAGAATAGTGTGCTTTAAGAGCATTGGGTAGTGAGGCTAACCCAAGGAAGAATTAGCTATCTTTTTCTTTGTTAATCTGGATTTACAACACTTGATTATTCAGGAGTGGATTAACTGATGACCAGGCTCTGACCTCACTCACTGCCCCACTGCCTTCTAAAACGCTGACAGTGAAGCTTAAGCTTTGAGGAGGGAGATGGTGGCAGTTGGGGAAAACAGAAACTAAGGTCCTGTAAATGTCTGTGTGTTTCTCAAATTGCTTTCTAAAGACAAATATTAAAAAAGTAGAGTTAAATATCATTTAAACATTTATTTATTAAATAACTTTCCATTTATATTTTACTTAGCCTTTTTTTTTTTTTTTTTTTTTTTTAGTGAGGAAGATCAGCCCTGAGCTAACATCCATGCTAATCCTCCTCTTTTTGCTGAGGAAGACCGTCTCTGAGCTAACATCCATTGCCAATCCTCCTCCTTTTTTTTTTTTTCCCCAAAGCCTCCCCAGTAGATAGTCGTATGTCATAGTTGCACATCCTTCTAGTTGCTGTATGTGGGACGCGGCCTCAGCATGGCTGGAGAAGCGGTGCGTTGGTGCGTGCCCGGGATCTGAACCCGGTCGGCCAGTAGCGGAGCACATGCACTTAACCGCCAAGCCACAGGGCCAGCCCTACTTAGCCAATTTTTAATTTTCATTTTTGAGTAACAGATTTTTCAAAGATAGAATTCATATATCATGAAATTCACTATTAATATCGAATTCATTGTTTTTTACTATATTCACAGAGTTGTGTAACCATCACTACTATCTAATTTCAGAACATTTTCATCACCCCCAAAACAAACCCCTTACCACTTTGGAACACAGTCTGGCAGTTCCTCAAAAGGTTAAATATAGAGTTAATGTGATATGTCATTTTACATTCGTTCCCACTAGCAATGTATGAGGGTTCTAATTTCTCCAAATCCTCAGCAACACTTATTATTGTCATTTTGATTATAGCCATCCTAGTGAGTGTGAAGTGGTATCTCATTGCAATTTTGATTTGCATTTCCCTGATAACTAATAATATTCACCCTGTTTTTGTGTGTTTGTTGGCCATTTGTATATCTTCATTGAAGAAATGCCTATTCAGATCCTTTGCCTATTTTTTAATTGGGTTATTTATCATGTTATTATTGACTTCTGAGTTCTTTAAATATTCTAGAAACAGGTTCCTTGTCATATGTATGATTTGCAAATATTCTCTCTCATTCCATGGGATGTCTTTTCACTTTCTTAGTGGTATCCTTTGAAACACAAGTTTTAAATTTTGATGAAGTCCAGTTTATCTTTTTTTTCTTTTGTCATTTGTGCCTTTGGTGTCTGTGTTTTGAGACCAATTCTCTGACACCAAGTCAGTTTCCTACAATTCAATTCAACTCAGTTCAGTTCCGGAGTCAGCATCCAATCCCCCAAGTTAAGGGGCAAGATCCCCAATAAGACCCCCCTTACTTCAGTAGGGTCCCTAGTCTACCCACACTTCTGCCCGGCCAGCTACAAATTCAAGGTTTCCCACAGCCACTCAGGGTCAATAATTCACTAGAATGACTCACATAACTCACTAAAAGCACTATCCTTATGATCACAGTTTTATTGTAAAGGATACAACTCAGAAACAGCCAAATGGAAGACACACACGGGCCAAAGTCTGGAGGTGAGAGAGGGATTCCCTGTCTGGAATCCTGGCTTGTCACCCTCACCGCACGTTAATTTGTTCATCAACTGGGAACCTCCACTAACCTTTGTTGTCAAGTGTGTATGTGGTTTCGTTACTGGGCATGATTGATTAAATCATGGACCACTTAGTTGAGCTTTATCTCAGGCCCTTCTCCCCTCCTGGGAGGTTGTTCTGGTCTGAGTTCCAACCCTCTAATGAAATGATTGGTCTTTCTGGTGCCCAGCCCCCATCCTGAGGCTATCTAAAGGCCAGAGTGAGTTACGACATTAACATAACAAAGACTCCTGCCAATCAGGAAATTCCAAGGGTTTTTGAAGCTTTGCCAAGAACCATGGACAAAGACCAGATATTCTTTATTATACCTCTGTGACTTACCACCTAGCCGTTTTAAAGTTAACTAGTATAAAGTTAATTTGTCACTCAATGACAAGGAGACTAGCTTGCAATGTGCTGCCATTCTGTTTTTCATATTTCACTTTAAAAATTTGGTAAATTTACACAAGCAAGTAGAGAGGTTCCGTAGCTGTTAGTGGTGTAGGATCTGTTCCACTGTTTAATGTTGCTCCCTGGAAAGTATGGTCACAGAAGCATATGAAAAGCTGAGCAGTTCCTCCTACAGAAATATTGAAAGGTCTGTCCTCATGGTTGTCATTAATATAAAATGCAAAGGGAAAATTCCATTGATACAACTATGAATAAGTAACTGGCTTTGTTTCTTATAATAAGGATCACAAGGATTACATTTAGGGATTTCTCTTAGCCAGCCGCTCTACATTTAAAAACTCATTTTGCTGCTTGCTCTACAAAAGACACTTGAATACCTAATATTAAACTTACAGAGAAATACTCTTCTCAGATGTCACTTTTACTCAGTACTCATTACTTGCTCTTTGTAACTTTTTCATGTTTTATTTTTCTTGATTGTATTTCCATTACCTGCAAATAGTACATTTATTATTTTATTCTCATTACAGAATTTATCTTAAAGGCTTGAATTATGTTTCTAATTGCATACATTGAGACTTCTTTTCAAAATAAATGTTACGGGAAAGAAAAACCAATCAGGCATAGTTCTTAGACAAGTGGTTCAGAAAAGCAACTTCAATGCTGCCTAGTTATCCTTAAGTGTGTATTACTGATTAGTTAAAAGTGGTGTTCTAGGTGCAGAGGAGGGATACACAAACAAGACCTGGTCCCTGCCCTGGAGGGAACTGATGATGTTAGCTAGACGTGCTCACAAAGAATAATACAAGGGAAAGAATTTGGAAGGGAGGGGATTTTGAGGGTTGGATTGGGACCTTTAAATCTCACCACTTGGGCCTTGGTGCAGGGAAGCTGGTGTAGGAGAATAATCTGATAGTGAATATCATTTCAACAGTGTTCATCTAAGTATAACTGATAAGCAGGAATAGCCAGGTTGAAGTACCACCAGAGAGTGTTTTTGTGAAAGCTAAAGGAGGGGCTAGCAATGTCAAATGCAGTGTAAAGATCAAGATAATATAAAATTTTCTACTGGGATTAGCAATTAAGGTATCAATCTTTGAGAAGCCTGTTAATCTGCTCAGAGTTTTTTGGATTGAAGGGCAGAAGCAAAAGCCATATTGAAAAGAGGATAAGGATAAATAGGAGAGGCAGCAGCGTCCACTGCACGAGGAGTTGCAGCCCGTGCTGTGCTCAGGAACTTTAAACTGTTCCCTGATGACTAATGTGTAATATGATCATTACATCTCTGGCACCACCTGGAGCCTAGGCCTGCACTAACATGAGCTACTTTATACCAGAACTTTGGAGTATTGACGCTGATTCTTCCAACACAATTCAAATCACTGTCCCCTCCATCACGTTCAAAATGTGAGGCTCTCCATTCTCCCATGCACTTTTCCCCACACTATATGTGTTCCCCACTCTGAGACCCAACCTTTCATTGCTCCTGTACCTACCGGACTTCCCCACCGTGGGAACCCCCTCAGTTTGCTTATTTCTCTCTCCCTCAAACATGTCTTCCCCCTTAGTGAAGGGGCTTTCTCTTTGGGCCAGTCTGAACCTGGATGCTCCCCGCTCACCCTGTCCCATTGCTTCCAGAGATCTCACTCCTTCCGGTCCGCCCTTGCTCTGCTGTCTTCAGCTCTCCACATTGGGTCTTTCAACCTCAACCTGAGTGTCCTCTCATCTAAAAAGGTAAAAAGATTCCTCCTCCAGCTCCCATGCTCTCTCTTACCTTCCATTTATAAGGATGCTTCTATAGAGTAGTCTACCTGGGAAGTCTCCTTCGCTGCCTGCCCTCCTGATCTCCCTGTAATCGAGCTGTTTCTTGCAGTGCTTTACCGCAGTTGCCTTTCCTCCTCATTCCTCTTTGCTTAATCCAGTGCTCATTCCGGCCCTATTTTACTTGATCTCTGAGCGTTTGACGTTACCAGCCATTCACTCCTTGAAATTTTCTTCCCTGTGGCCCTTGAGACCACTCTTGCCTGGTTTTCTTTAAGTCTGTGTGCCCCTCCTTCTTTCTCCTCTAAAGGGCCCTTTTCTCCCCAGCTCTTAGCTGTTAACATTCACCAGCGTTTCATCTTCAGCCTTCCCCACAATATATCAACATGTTCAAGCTTGTATCTTCAGAACAAAATTTCTTTTGCCTTTGTTCCCCTCTAAGCTACTACTTTATCTGTCAGCATTTCTTGACAGCTGTGCCTTTTAGATAGGCACAAATTTAGATAGTTCCTTTTCTGAAATCTGAAGACACAGAGCAAGATTTCAAAAACCCCTTCCTGGAATGCCTTCCCCCAAACTTTATATACCAGTTTTTCAGTTTGCCTTCTCTGCACAAATCTTCCTGGGTTATTGAGACAGCATTATTTTATCCTCCTTTGCTCGCTCAGTACTATTCTATTAGAACATTAATTACTGTTTGCTTTGTATTGTGTATATATTTCTACCTCATCAAATAGAATGTGATTCCCCCGAGGGTAGGAAAAAAATTTTTTTTTATCTTTTTAATGGAACAGAAACCTCCTTCTTGTCTTATACATAGTATACAGTAAATGCTGGTTCAGGTATTTTAATGGTTATATTGTTTTGTTTTGTTGGCCATGAGGAGAAGCCCAGTGCGCTATAAAGTATAGGCAGGAGACTTGTGGCCCCTGGATTAACAGCTATACTGTAGTAAGAGTAGTGGTGGACTGATGAAGAGGTGGACGATTGTGATTGCTCCATTAGGAGGATAAAAAGGGATGTTGTTGCCAGACACCTGCTTCTAACAGCTTTAGAGAGAATGGAAGGAGGAAAGTGTGGGCACTTACAGATGACATAAACTGTAAATGAGCACAGTTGATAGGATGTTAGTCAGTTAGAATGCTCTCAACTACAGGTAACAGAAACAACAGAAACAACAGAAACAACAAGGATACATTTATGATATATTAGGAAATTTGTAAGTAAGGCAGTTCCAGGTAGCTCAATGATATCAAGGACCCAGATTCTTTCTATTTTTTTTTTCTATTCTGCCATCTTTATAAATTAGTGTCTTCTTAAACTGGCTTCCCCATGGCCCAAGATAGCTGCCACCGCTCCAGACATCACTTACAAATGAATGTCTCAAGGCAGAAAGGGGAACATTCCTTTTAAGAGCCCAAGCCTCCTTTTAAGAGTGAAGAAAACCTCAGAAGTATTTCCAGCAGACTTACCTTGTCACAGTGGCCAGAATTGTGATATACGCCCAATGTTGGCAAGAGGAATGAGAGCGTCACCTGGGAGCTTGTGATAAGTACAGGTGCTTTGGCCTCACCCTAGACGTACTGAACTAAGAAAGAAATTTGGGGGGTAGGTGGGACCCACCATTCTGTGTTTTCACTAGCACTTCAAGTAATTTTGAGGCACATAGAGTTTGAGAACACTGGCTTAGAGCAATCGTGATTCATCTCTTGGGGCTGGGGAAAGGCCTAGCCTCCCTTAAAGGACATGAAGCCAGGAAGAGGATAAGAGAGAAGGGGGAGGGAAGGAATGGATGTTGGATGCACAACCAAAAATGTCTACACAGTTACTCAGGGAGTAAAGGGAATAAGATCTTTCTTAGTGTCCGCTACCGTTGTTGCCCTCTCTCCCCCTTTTATTCTGCTCTAGCTGGGCCTCCACACCCAGTGCTGATCTGCCTGCTTAGTCTTTGAGGCAACAAAGGCGACCTCAAAACTGTGACTTCTTAGTTGTTTCTGATTATCATACCACCACTTAACTAAGCTTAAAAAGTATTTTAAGTTAAAAGATTTCATGGCAGATTTTTAATAAGCATAGATTAATAAATACTGTTTTCCTTTTTCTAATTTTACTGTTTCTATCTAGCTGTAATAACATTTTGCTTTTTGATAGGTTTCCTAAAAGACGGAAAAATGGAGGAATCAGTAAACCAAAAGCAACCATTGAATGAGAAGCAGATAACCAATTCTGAAGATGGATATGTCTGGCAAGTCACCGATATGAATCGACTACACCGGTTCTTGTGTTTTGGTTCTGAAGGTGGGACTTACTATATCAAAGAACAGAAGTTGGGCCTTGAAAATGCGGAAGCTTTAATTAGATTGATTGAAGATGGCAGAGGATGTGAAGTGATACAGGAAATAAAGTCATTTAGTCAAGAAGGCAGAACAGCAAAGCAGGAGCCTACGCTCTTTGCACTTGCCATTTGTTCCCAATGTTCTGACATAAGCACAAAACAGGCAGCGTTTAAAGCTGTGTCTGAAGTTTGTCGCATTCCTACACATCTCTTTACTTTTATCCAGTTTAAGAAAGATCTGAAGGAAAGCATGAAATGTGGCATGTGGGGTCGTGCCCTCCGGAAGGCTATTGCAGACTGGTACAATGAAAAAGGGGGCATGGCCCTTGCTCTGGCAGTTACAAAATATAAGCAAAGAAATGGCTGGTCTCACAAAGATCTGTTAAGATTGTCACATCTTAAGCCTTCCAGTGAAGGTAAGCATAAGATCCTTGGGGTGGGGGGGCAGGGGTTGGCGAGGGTGTGTGTGCGAATATCCTATAAACAGCAAATTTTTGACATAAGACTGTTATGTAATATTTTCTAGAAATATTCTTTCATTCTCAAAACACATTGACTAATTCAGATATGTTTAATGCCAACCTGGAATTGAACACCTACCACAGGCAATCCAGAAATTAAGTCAAGAATCAAATGACAGATTTACGGGTTAATATTCTAAATCTTAAAATGTCACCCTGCTAACTAGAATGCTCCCCTAAGTGATTCTGGACTATGAAAGCAGCATGGACATGATTAAAGGTGTAGTAAGCAGGAGGGCTCCTCGCCTGTACATGGCGGGTAGTCAGGCTGCACTGCTCTAGCCCTTACCATTTGTTCCCCCCGTCTCCCTAGGGCATGTGTTCCATGGAACCTAAAGGCTGCCTGAAATAGCGCTGAACTTAACAATTCAGGATGTTAATTGTCTCCACGCAGTCAGCCAGGGGATCTGGTAACTTGGGCCAGTTGTTCTATGTCTGTGGGAAGAGACTTTTGAGAAGTTAGTTGAATCTACAGTAATCACTTAGTCCTTTTTAGAAGGGAAATAAGAAAAACTTTGGGGCAGGAAAAATTTAAATTGTGGACTTGCGCGAAAGTCAGCATGTCCAAAACTTGACGTTTTTTGACACTAGAAGTGAAACTTGAGAAGACATCACCCATGTGGGTTCAAATTTCAGTCCTTAAGCCAAGTAACTTACCTCTTCTGAGTTTCTGTATCTTTATCTATTAAAGAAGGAAGAAGGGGAATAACCCTTACAGTTATTGTAACTAAATGTGATAATGTATATTAAAATACCACACACGGTTCCTGACATGTAGTAGAAGGGCAGTGTTGGTTCCCTCCCCTTCCACGTATATTGTGTTATGATATCTTTATACGCAGAATCTCCTCAGTAATTCCTAATTTATCATTTTTTTTTTTTACTATAAATGGATTTTTTTCAAGTGAAATTTAAGCAGTAAATCATTGTAAATATTTATATACACAAACGTTTGTATTTTGATTTTTTTATTAGAAATTACATGCTTGTTTTAAAATAGCTATAGAATACAGAAAGTAGGAGTCCTGCCCTTCAGAAGAAGTCACTATATATGATATGTTGTATATTACTCCAGGGTTTTCCTAAACATAGCGCTATGTTTTATTTTTTTTAATTTTACATACATTCTTTGTTTCAGTTAAAAGTATATGATTGAGGGGCCGGCCCGGTGGCGCAAGCGGTTGGGTGCGTGCGCTCCGCTGTGGCGGCCCGGGGTTCGCTGGTTCGGATCCCGGGCGCGCACCGACGGACTGCTTGGCAGGCCATGCTGTGGCGGCGTCCCATATAAAGTTGAGGAAGATGGGCACAGATGTTAGCCCAGGGCCGTCTTCCTCAGCAAAAAAAGAGGAGGATTGGCGGATGTTAGCACAGGGCTGATCTCCTCACAAAAAAAAAAAAAAAAAGTATATGATTGATATTTTTTCGGGTCAGTAGAAATAGTTGCATGTATACCATTGTATGAATACACGAGAATTAACTAGTCTCTTACTGATGACAGTTAAGTAGCTTCCTGTTTTTTGTACAATTACAAAAATACTGCAAAAAAACTTGCATAGTGTAAATATTTCTATAATGGTTAAATCCACAAAGAATATATGAAAGTGGCCAGTTCCCCCACATTTATGCACTATTACCAGTGTTTTTTAATCTTTGCCAATAGGATAGGTGAAAAATTATATCTTCTTATTTAAATTTGTATTTTTGGGCCAAAGCTTATCTTTTCATGTGCTTACTGATTATTTGTATTTTTTGTGGATTATATTGTATCTTTGCCCTTTTATTCAATGAGTTGTTTTTCTTTTTAATATTGATTAGTCACCATTCATTGATTCAATGAGTTGTTTTTCTTTTTAATATTGATTAGTCACCATTCATTGATTCATCAAATACTTATTGAGCACCTACTATGGATGGGCACTGTTCTAAGAACGTGGGATACATAGTATAGGAATTAATTATTTTATATACATTGTGTGCATTTTTACCCCAGTTTTTGCTTTGTCTTTCAGTCTTTTTGATGGGGGGGTTGTTTCTGGCACACGAAAGTTTGGAATTTTAATGTAATCAAAGCTGTCCATGTCTTTCTTCATAGGTTTTGTTTTGTGTTTGGTTTAGAAAGGGCTTTTCCAACCTAAAGCCATAAAAATATTTTCCTGTCGTTTTTTCCTAACATATTCATGCCTTACTTTTCTTACTTTTAAATCTTTGATCCAGTATGAGAAGAATGTAAGGATCCAGCTTTGCCTTTTGAGACACTACATGATGCTGTGGACCTAAGTGCTAGTTCTAATAGGAAAAATTAGTTTCTGTATTTGTGCAAATAGTTATTCTGGGTTCTTAATTCTTGGTCTGTCAAATGAGGAATTAATAGAAGTTCCCTAAATTTACTCCCACATTTAATTCTAAATTTTTGAGGGCAGAACTCATCCTCAAAACCTTGTAATAATAGCAGTATATTTATGGCATAAAAGATCCCCAGGCCTGGGGGCTGGCCCCATGGCTTAGCAGTTAAGTGCTCGCGCTCCGCTGCTAGCGGCCCGGGTTCGGATCCCGGG